TCCTTTAAAAGATTTCCTTAATCCTTGAACAGCTAATTATACTTCTATATAGACTTGGATTAATTTACAAGTCCAGTTTTACTGTGGTTTCTTTCCCAGCTCATCATACTGTGTTGTGCTCAACATGTGCAAGGTACTTACGTGTCCTTCTAATTTGAAACCAGTGTGCAGGAATTGTCTTGGATTTTAATGGAAGAGAAGACAACAGAAAGGGGTGAAGATTTGAAGGCAGCTAAAATTTTTTTTATCTAACTGTATGTTTTGAAAAATTGATTTTGAATATCTCATAAGTGTTTTGAACTAATCTGATGAAGTAACATGAGCAGAGTAAGCCAGAAAATTTAGCAGGTGGTTGCCTCTGTTCAAGCTGTGAGGGAAATTTTCATGTGAGAGAAGACCTGTGTCAGTTCCATACTATCTTCCTTTTCTTTGGTAAGAACATCCTAACAGCTTCAAGGATGCTGTAAGGTCACTCTGCTTGGTCTGTTTTCACATGGTGTCAAATATTTAAATGCTCATTATATGAAGAACAGTGGTGTGAGAATGATCCTCCACCCCTTGTTCATGACACATCTTTGAGATCGGCTCCAGCTGTTTTCCCGCTGTAGTCTGGGCTTCATCTGCCTCAGCCAACAGCCATTTACCCAAAGTGCAGTAAATCCAACTACTAACTAACACTACTAGCATTTCACCCTTCTCCTGCTGGAGATGTGGTTTCTGGGTGCAGATGTGGGACACAGGGTGGTGGCAGACACTGAGCTGCTGGGAGTAGCTTGGGGGCAGTGACATGGCACTGGGCAGCAGGAGTGCACGGGCTGCAGCAGGGCCCTGGGCTGGCTACTAGCGGCAGGGCTGTGATAGTCTCCCTGGGTGACCCCTGGCCTGGCTGGTTGCCTTCACCACCTTCTCCTGCCACCCATGCTATTCAAGCTGGTGCCTTTCTTGCTTCCCTTGATTTCTTCCCCTTACGAAAAATTCCCAGCATTGCCTCTCTAATGAAGTTGGCCCCTTCAGGAGGCTGTATTCAAGGCTGGCCTGAGGGAGACCTGTCAGTTGGTACCAGCACTGTCCTCTCAAACTCTTGTGCTCCCCCAGGGTTTAAACTTTAGCCGTGCTCCAAAGATCTTGGATAATCATAAGCCAGGGAATCAATCCAGTTTGTTGCTTAATCATGGGGAGGTGATAGCTCATCCCTGAGTTTTATTTGCTAGAGATAACAGATTTAAGATAAATACTCTGATGAAACATTTGAATCGTAGGTCAGAAACCAGTTTGGAGCTGAGTTGGGAGGGCTATAAACCCTCCCACCCCCAGCATCCTGCAGAACAAACTGTTTGCCATGTCATTTTCCCCCAGTGTGTCCGTAGCATCTTCTGGAGGCATTCCCACTGTTCAGCTGAAGACACTTTGTTATATATTTCAAGGAAATCAGTTTCAGGGCCATTTTAAAACTTACACATATTTCAGTAACTAAAAGAAAATAATCAAGTAAGTGGAGGGAATATCTGCCCAGTGTGAATCCCTCGCTCTCTGGGATTCCCCAGCTAATACAAGGTAATGATGGAAGTTTTCCTCAGCATTTGACATATAAAAAAATTTGCTTAGTATGAAAAAAATAGTTTTCAGCTGTGACCCTTACCCTCATGTCCCCTTCCATTACAGCCTTGGTGGTTTCATGAATAGGGAGCTATAAAACTGAGGATAACCTCTGCACAGACCACCCCTTCCGCAATACAGGAACAAGTACCCAGCCCTGCTTTGCCTCAAAATTACATCTGCAGCTTTGCTTATTTTAGTGTTTTTTCTGTCTGCGGAATTAAAGATGTGGTGCAGTGAGGAGGATAGCATGGGCCACTGGTACCAACTACTGGTACAACTTTATCCATATCCTCTTGGACTGCAAAACCTGAGACCCTTTAGCACTCAGTCCTGCTCAGGGAGTTGTCCTTCATGGCAGGCAGTCAGCAGAGAGCTGTGGACATGATGATGCTCCGTGTGGCAGCACCTGAAGTTCAATAAAGTTCCCGTTTTGGGAGCAGCTTTCAGAATCTGTTCTGCATAGACTGCATTACCATCTACCCCCCCTCTTGGGGTGGCAGTCCTGAGTTTGATTTTTCAGCTGCCACGGTGCTGAGCAATAGGATGTGCCAGGGAGACGACCATCTGCAGTGCTGGCTCCTGAGGTGAGGTCACCCGGCAAAACTGGGAGCTGGAGACTGCAACTGCTTTGTGTGGTTCAAGGGTCACAATGGCTACATTTGTGCAGTTGTTTCTTGGCAGAGACTCTCACTAGAGAGTTGGGGCATTGAGCACATCTTATCTGGCAATCAGGGCCCTGCCTCACATAATTTTTTTTTCTTCAGTGATTGCTCTCTCTGCAGGGAAAGCAAAACACCCTCTTTCTTCTCATCCAGTCATCTCCCTAATCTACTGTCATTTTGCCTCAGTTGACTGCTATCCTGTGCTTCTTTGACACTGAGCCTCTCCTGAATCATGCCAAGTCTTTCTCGTCCCATATCTCATCATCTGCATTCACCATAAGGGAATGTCTATGGAAGAGGGTCTACACACAAGAACTCTAAGCCATCAGCTTTTGCCAGAGCCAGAAACCATTTCTGTGTATACAATAATGCCTAATGGCTTGCTTCTCCACACACTTGTGCCTTCAAACTCTAAACTCCAAACTACAAACTCCATCACTCGCAGCAGCTTTTCTAATTGAGTGTGTGCTTCAGCTACATGCGTGGACTGTGGGGCGGGAGATGCGGCACCTGTGCCCACATGGAGCAGAGTGGGAGAGCAGTGGGTTCAAATCCCTTCAGGAAAGGCCAAACATCCTGAGACCTTGGCCATGGCCTGCCCATCCCCCCCACCAGCGATGACACAGGGCTGGGGTACGTGTGCTAGGGAGCTGTGGTCCCTCAGCTACCTCCATGCATGGCCCCTGGCCCAAAGCCTACACAGGCCCAGGTGGACAGGAGCCATTCTGCCTGTTGCACCAACAAAAACAGGTCCCTTAGGGAACCTGCACTGCACCTCAGGACATGCTGGCAAATTTTGCACGATGCACTGAGCACCTACAGGACCTCAGACACCCAGCAGCTAAGTTTCATAGCTTGTGCGCTACAGGATGGGCTCAAAAACTACACCCGACTGGCACTCTGAGCCCCTGGGGACCCTGTTCAGCCCAGCCTCCTATCCTCATGTGCAAAAGGAGTTTGATTTTCCCCCCACCCTACTCCCAATTTTCACCCAAGTTGCTTGAGCTGGTGGAATGCATTTGAAGGCCTGCACAGGTACCAGGCAGAGTACAACTTTCCTACCCACAAGGCAGGAAAAGCAGATGGTTGGCACTGTGTATTGAGCTCATGTGGAGCTCAGAGGCCACCAGGAGGGAGAAGGGGCCAGTAGAGGAGACAGCCAGAGCTACTAGCTTCGCAGCACAGGCAGAGGGAGTGATGCATTTCTGGGATACCTAAAGGCCATAAACACCATCACTCTCCTGTGAAGACCAGCTGATTTATTTGACTTTAAAAAAACTGATTTACTGCTGATAACCCTGACTAGCTTTAAGCCTGTGATGGTGGACAATGGTCAAATTCCCAGGAAAGAATGGAGCCTGGAAGAGATCATTGTCTTTCAAAGTCTTGCCTGGCTCCAAGTATATGCTGAGGCACAACAAGGAAAATACTTTGTAATGGGCACTCAAGCCAGGCACTCCACTTGCCCTCCTGCTCGGGACAGCTGTATCCTTGTTGCAGCAGGCTGGTTCATACTCTGAAGTCTGACGTACTTAGTAAAGTAAGTGTTCGCAGAAAACAAATCACAGAAAAGCAGCGTTGATACAGTCCCTGTTACGCTGGTATTTCAGCATAACCACGCTCTGTTATTTTTAGATAAGAAAATTATAGACTTCATTTTACTTTTGAAGTCAGAATGAGGCATCTCTCACAAAGATAAGTGTCTGGGGCTAGTCCCTGTCTCAGGGTTATCTAGTGGTCAGATGCTAACCAGGCATTTCCATTAGTTTGGGTCTGTACATTCCTCCCACCAGCCACTATCATTTACAAAACACAGCTCCATTAGAAGTGACATTTAATCTGATGAATGTTCTGCCAGTATTAGCACATGCTGATAGCATCTGAAGTCTTGGTACAAGACTAAGCCAAATTACAAGACTAAGCCAAATAATGGAGATATGCTCTTAACAAATCTATTTAAATAGACTCTTTACAGCACTAGCAAATCTATGATAAAAGTTTATATATAAACAATATACAGGGAAGTTAAGATTTCTGTGACACAGTCCTCACTCTTACATCCTCTCCTGGATGTTAAAACATATAGTTATTAACAACTATAAAACCGAAACAATATTTTATGCCATGCTGTTTGGAAGTAAAGCCCTGTAAATCTGTGGATGGGATGCTGTGGCCTTGCATCAAGTTTTTACAGAATTTAGTGTGCTTAACCAGCAGGCAGAATTAATTTTTTTTTCAGAATCTGTAAGTTAGCAGGACACCAACTTTTATTACATCTGCATCTTTCAGATACTCCTTGAGGCTGTTCAGGAAATCCCCAACCTCATTCTGTTTTTAAACTTATTTGCAGTAGGAAAGTCAGTGTTTTCACCAGCACAGCTGTCTTAAAACTGAATGAAAAATAATTTTAAAAAATCCAAACCACCAAACAGTAGAGTTCTTTATTTTAAGATTACATAAAACCACAGAAATACTCCATTACAAAGTCAGAAATAAATTCACTCTCTCTAACTGTAGGAAAGAATGATGTCCACTTAAAACTGCACATTTGCTTAAAAGTAAATATACATACTTTAAAAATAAAGTTTAAGAGATAAATAACCAACAGGTCCACACCAGTGAGTACTTTGATTTGCCTGAAAGTACTCCTCCACTTAATGTAATGGCCCATCTGTCAAGATACATCCTCTTGAGCATAGCCATAGCTCCTACTGCTTATGTTTATGTATCAACTCTTCAATCCCTATCAGTAAAATCAAATACATTGAAAACATTTCTAGTAAAAGGCAAATGTATCAGTGGAAAACGTAACACTGCAGCTGCAGGAAAACTCCAGGAGAGATGGAGATAACCATAAAGCTCTGCGGGTGCATGGGCTTTGCAGGACTGTATGACCAGATGGCTAATTTTACAAGTATGAGATAAACACAGCACCAATACCTAATGAAAAATATTTCTTTCTACTCTGAGAAAACATGACAAGCGTACAACAGTTTTTCCTTTATAAAATCCACTTTAAAATGTTTCAAACTGCATACAAATATTTACATGTGCATATATACATAGTGCCAAACAGTGCAGTACTGTCTTCTGCTTCTACCACAAACTTCACGGAAAGTGCTGCAGACTTAAAGGCAGCTGTCTTTTGTCAGCGCTAAGGAAAGCTGCCATTATATGACACTACATAGGCCACCTGAGCTCTGGTACTGGAGCCAGCAGAACCTCAAACACACACAGCAGGCTACATTTCTGTGCTTGTAAGTTCACAGACAGAACTAAAATCACTTTGTTAATTGCACTTGTAAATCAGATCCCACAGATGTCGAAGAGCCATAAACTTTGCTAGCAAAGCCACTGACTGAACCTCTGACTCTAAAGCTAAGTTTTGGCTGTTTCTCATACATTATTAAAGGACTGATTAGAAGTCGGTGAAAAATCTGTATGATGCAAATGCTTACTTGCCCATGTCAGCCTAGACCATCACCAAGTCATGGAATTCTTACATCGCGGTACCAAAAAACTGCAGTTCTCAGCTTTTTTCTACTTGCTCTCTTTAACCCCTGTGCTAATATGCAAGTATTGATTGCTTAAGGTACAAATGCTGATAACCTAAGTTGTGACATCCCTCCAGGAGATCAACACACCGCTGCCCTCAGGACGTGCACACTTTGGTGGCCTGGGCTTCTCAGGAAGGAGGTATTTCTTAGCAATTCACCGAAGTGCAGAGATCTGCAGCTGCAGCTCTGGGGAAGCTGCCCTGGCCCACAAATGCACAATGAGAAACTGATGCTCCTTAGCAGGGACTTCAGCAGACAGACTACACAGCAGTTCAGAAAACTAACTTATGCTTTGCACACTACTATCCACCACTAGATTTTAGACTTTTTTTTCTGCTTTACCATAATTATGTAGTTGTGGTTATGTGGTATTATTACACTAATTAATAAAAAGCAATTACAAAAATAGCAGACAAGAGAAAAAATGTATTTCCCACATCTTTCCACTTCAAAAGCATGGCTGCCAATGTTACTTAATAACAACATCAGATTTCTTTACTAGCTTCCTGGTCATAATCCTTGTTTACGAGGACTACCGCAATTGTGTCCTTGTCACTGTGAAAGCTCCAGCAAACCCAGGTCTCAAGAAAAAGCCTGAGGCGAGATGCACACGGGCACAAGGGTGCCAGACACCACCACGCCTGCAAGGGGACAGGCTATGAGCGAGTGTACTGCACCGTGCTGTATTTGGTGACCCTTGAAGACTTGCTCAGTGTGGCACTGGCGGGAGGTGGCCCCTCAAAGTTGGAGCCTGCCTGGTTAAGCAGGGAGTCTGTGATCAACACATGCTCTTGCCTGCCTGGGCTGGCACCTGCTGCCTGTTCAGCTCTGCTCTGCATTCCAGAGGCTGTCACCACCATGCTGTGCCCCTCTGCCACAGTGGGGAAGCTGAGTGAGCCCTGCTCTGCAGCAGGCACAAGCACCCTCTCCCGCTCCCTCACCACGACGTACTGGGAATCGGGGAGATCCTGAACCATCAGGGCTCCTGGCCCAGCACTCTCCGACTTCACCATTCTCTCTGTAACCACCACATTACTTCCATGTGGCAAAGCAGGGATTTCCACCATACCCTGCAAGCTCGACGCAGGTGCCAGCACTCTCTCTGTCACCACTATGTTTTCCTTTAACTGGGGGTCTAGAAAGACTGTGGCTGAGCGGGCAGGAGCCCCTGCAGAATACGATGTTTCCGTCATGGTGAAATTGGTCTCTGTGTGGGCTGTGGGAAGGGGCCGGACGTCATGCTGCCCAGAGCGGGATGCAAAGGTTTCCGTGACCACCTCCTTGGACAGGGTGCTTTGTCCTGCGCCACTACCCATGTGCACCGGTGAGGCAGGCTGGAATTGGCTGCCTGAGGCAAAGGCTTGTTCAGAATTGGAAGCATTCTGCTGATCTAAGAACCCCAACTTTGCATCATTAAGACCAAAACCTGATTCATTCCTGGAGATACCGTCTTTCATGTTGATGTGTCTGCCTATGCATATTTCTGCTAAAGTCTTAAATTTGTCTCCTAAATCATCAAGGAAATGGTCATCAAGATCACCCTCAATAAAGCTGCAGCAGCCAATGGAGCCATGGGGGGAGCCTGACTCTCCCTGGGAATAAACCAGGAGACAGTCATTTGCAGCTTGGGTTTCATCTTCATCCGCAAAAGAGACAGCTTTCTACAGACAGAAAACAAAAGCAAGGGAAAGTTCATCAATGTCAGCTCTCAACTTAATTTGAAAATCAGGAATGCCTGATCAAAAAGTTTAAAGTAAGAAAATTTAACTGAACCACAGAAACTGTCAACCAAGTGAGGGCAGTACCTGCAAGTGCTTTTTGATTTTTTGAAGTTAAGTCTGAACTTGACAGTACCCATGATGAGAAGAACCATCTGATATTAAATTGAAAACCTTGTGTACTATTACCACCTGCTGCTATTCCTATCAGAAATTGTGCCATTTGTGATACTGCTACATCTTCACAAATAGATTGTTTTTATTTTGGTTCAGTGAGTGAACTTCACCTCTAACTAGGTGTTTGTGGGAGAGTGCCAAAACCATGCCTGAGAGTATCCTAACATTCAAACACACATTTAGTGAGTACATGCTGACATGTTATCACATGCCATGGCCCTTTTCACTAGCCTAGCCTGCAGGATCACAGCCAGAAGCTCAACAGCAAACAAATCACAAATGGTTTGGTTAAGTATGGGAATCTAGTCCAGCACGTAACTTTTTAGGCTCTATGCAGGCCACTTCGCAACAGGGAGGACTCACAGATTCCGACTACAGTGCTTCCAGGGCCAGCTCAGTCTGCAAGCAGCGTCTGCAATGGAGTTGCTGCCAGTGCTAACACAAACGTCTGTGTACATGCTTGCACCAGCTCCAGTTGCAGGAGTGAAGACAGCCAAATCCTCTGGGCCTGCTGAACCAGCTTTACCTAATACGGTTGCTGGCTTGTGCTCAGAACTACTTTTCTGCCACATCTGAAGTTCTAGAGTGCTTAGGTCAGGCATCTGTGTAATGTGGTATACATATCCAGACTCAAACTGACTCTGTGTGTTTATCTATGTTTGATCCTGGAAGTAGGCACATTACCCAAGACATTTCTACAAAAATCCACACAGATCTGAAACTATCTGGTTTGGTTCCTTGTTACCGCACCCCAATAATACAATAGTACTTGATAGCGCCAACAGTCTGAGATATTTTAGCTTCCCAGAAGTTTTAAAGAGTAGTGTAATATGACCTTTACTAAGACCTCCTGCAGGACTTCAGCAGGCAGCTATGCTTAAAGTATGTCTTAATATTAGGAAGTGCAAAGAGTGGCAGGAAAGCAGAATAGCTACTGTTGCATCTGTTCACCCAGAAGACCAGTAGCTAGAGCACTCAGGAGACGCAAATATCTTAAAGTCAAATCCTTCCTTGGCCTGAGGTGATGATTCAAACCTGCATAACTACTTCCCTACAAAACCTGATCATCAGCCAGCTGTAGGGCGTGAGGATGTTTTGTTTGTACAGGTGATGGACAATCTGTACACACCCTGGCATATGGAAGTGAAACTTTCACTATAAGGAGCTCACCAGCCTAAGGACTAATGATGTGCTGCAATGAGTAGGAAGAGCCTATCGGTCAATGGTTAGTCACCAAAAATAAGTCAGAAAGGAGATTGCAACATGTGCCTCATAAGCTTCTGATGAATGGCCCTGTTACCTATACCCAGGCTGTTGGGCAAATCAGCAAGTCCAGCACCACTTACTTCATCAGCTACTTTGAAATTGCAGACCCACCCAAGACATCTATGGTTTATCTTTCAAAAACCATGCTTCATGGTAAAGTTTGTAGCTGTGACTCACGATGAGTCACAGGTGCCTCCCTGTGCTCAAATCCCTGAGATTTAGATCCCATAGCCTTTCTCATGGCTTCTTCCTGAGCAAGGGGCTCGTTGGTCATTATTGAATATTCTGAATCCCATTCCCAAGTACCTCCCTTGAGAGAAGGGTCTTCTTGTGGGAAACCTTGTAAGCAACCAGTGCTATAAAACTGAGAATTGTCATTTTCTAAGTCCTACATGTGAGCCTAATCCAAAAATACTTCATGCCCCCAACTCCACATGCACACATTGGCCATGGTATCAGGACTGTTTCATACATACATATCTCCTCATCTGTGTTTGTAGTAACATCAAAAGCATTTTGCAACGCTAAGTGTAAATATCAAAATACTCTTATTTTTGGGTCATATGCTTACGTCATTGAAGTAGTCTCTTAAAAATTCTTCATTCATGGCTCCTGCTGCTCCCATTGCACTTCCTCCTCCAGTCACCACTGTCTTGCCTTCTACACCTGTCATGCCTTCAGACCCTCCAGCTGCCATGGCTCCATACTCAGCAGCAGAAAGGAGATGCCTTTGCTCTTCCCAGGCTTCCTTGGTAATAGTGTTGCGATGCTCTCTTACATGGGAGGCAGAGCTGCTGCCTCCTGCTGCAGTATCCTCTCCACTCATTCCTGCTGCTGCTGCTGCTGCTGCTGTTGCTGCTCCTCTCGAGCTCTCCAGTGCACTGGGTGGGATGAAGCTCAGCACCGGCTACATAAATAACACAAATTAGGATGTGACATGAAAGCTGTGCTGTCTAGCACATGGAACTCACCAAACCAGAAGCAGGGCTGGGTGGGACCTGGGAGGGTGCTGACTTACAACTTGTCTGAATTTGCACGTCTACATGTTGCTGCAAAGAGTAAAAGGCCTCCTGAAATAGGGTACAGTTTCCACAACTGCGTTCCCAAGGAGGATCATGGAAATGTTTCTATAGATCATTGTCTTCTTGAAACTCAAAGGGTTGGAAGTGAAAGCAAGGAAAAAAAAAACAAACCCACACCAAAAGGCTTTCAAAACTCCAGGAAGCTCAGCTGTTCCAAGAAACTCTGCCCAGCTTTCCTCAGACACAAGGTGGAGGAGAATGCACTGCCTGCTGCTGCTCTGGTGTTGCCTGGCTCTTTCTTCTTTTCTAGCAGTTTAACTTCCCTGTTAATTGTCTTTTAACAAGAACTTAGTCTGAGCATTGGCCCTAAATCAAAGTCTTTTACCTTACATTAGTTTCTTTGTCATTGTGCAAAAGCATAACAGTGTCACGCCTTTTTTTGAAAACTGGGTTTTGTAGCATTAACAAGAAAGGGCAAACTTCGCATCTGCTGTTCCCTGTGCAGATCTGCACTTTTTTCTGCCTTTTTTTAATTAAGAATTTCCTCTGTTTAAGAAGGCAAATACACAGGGAAGTAATTTAAAATGCAGCCTGAAACTTTAAACTAGTGAGGAGAAGCTGAGCTTTATAACCCATTCTTCACCTGTTTCACCATGCTCCCAAAGGGGTGCAGAACATTCCAGGTATGCGAATGCAAATGCTTCAGCCCTTACAGCATAGATGCTTTCCCCACACTCCCATCTTCTGCTCAGATAACATCAGCATCTGCTTGATTACCTTCCCTTCACTTCGAGATTTTATGGTTGGTTTTTCTAGAGCTGCTGGTGGAATTAATCTTCTACACATCCTTCAATGAGCCTCACAGGGTTAATTTTAATTAATGTTCCTGTGTGGTTAAAATCTGCTGTACAGCTTTGAAACATCGGCCTGTAACATGGAGGATGTGCCAAGTGCCAAACTGAACACTTGGGTAGAAATCAAAGAGAAATGCTATTAGGGATACATGCCTTTTCCTCAGGAGCTGCTCCTTCGCTGTTCCACTGACGCAACATTGCTTCACTATAGTCTGGTATCGCAGCAAATCCCTTCGCTCCTGAGCCACAGGGACACAGCAGCAGTAACAGTGGAATAACTATGGGTAAACACAAGTTTGCCATTAACAATGTGATTATTAGGGTCAAATGATGCTAACAGCCAGTATCGAATTTTGGCCAGCTCCCATACCAAAATGCATCTCTAAAGAGCTAGTGATCAGTATGAGGGCTGATAAGGACTGAAGACAGGTTCCCAAATATTCAAGGTATTTCCTAGAAACCTATGCCAGGCTAGTTTTAGAGAGAGTCAACTGACAACCCATCACAGCCTCAATCCTGCAGACGACCATGCATTTATGTAGCTATACTTCTATCCAAGATCTCATATATCAAACCCAAGCCCTAAGTATCACTGTACAACCTCAGCATTTCTAACTCCTGCTATTCTTTCACTACTAGATAACGACATGGTGTCATGTAAATTCCACCTCACCACTCCTATTATAGGTCTCAGGCATTGCCTGAGGAACGCAAAACAATCCAGTTTCAGGAGCACAGTGTAATTTTGAGGCATGAACTTTGTTTTGCCACAGCTTGATTGCTACCAGTACAAGCAAAAAACAATTTTGAATGCAGACTGGTACACATAGTAATACCATGACTACAAGCACTCTTCTCTTATTTTTGAGCTTCTATTTTGTCTCACCAAAGAGCAATGTCACATGCTGCTCAGAGCAAGGCACCAGACCTGGGTCTGCAGTGAGGGAGAAGAGAATGGAGAGAGCACTGTGGTTTGAGTGGGAAGAGTTAGGGTTCACATGGGGATGTGTGGGAACACCAAAAGGATTCCTTACTGCCTCCCCACCTGTTATTTACAGCACCATAAACTATTATTAAAGTTGTGCATCCTCGTTTTAAAATGCACAGCTTGAAGTCCTTTGAGGGTAAAATGCTGATGTTACCAAAATTAGTTGGGGATTTGCCATGACTTCACGCAGACTAGGAGTTTACACTGACTATATCAAGATGATAAAAACTGGGAGTTGGACTGTTTCTTTCCTAATACATTGAAGACCATATTTACAGTACTTCTGAGATAATACGAAATAATTACTTACGCAACAAAAGTAAAAACGCCAAGATGATTAGTGCAACTGCTCCTGGTCCCAGACCCACGGACTTAGCGCCAATAAACTTTTCTTTGCATGCGCCATTCTCACAATTACAGACAGTCAGTTGCAGAGACTGTGCTTGAGCACAGCTGAACCCCTGGAAATCCTTTATTAGGATGGGGACTTCAGTTCTGCCCAGCTTCAGGTTTTGTGGTACCAGCTGTATGCTGGTGCCTGAGGCAGAAGGGAGGTTAAAGAAAAAAAAACACAAGACAAGAAATGAGTGGAGAGAAAGTTGACTCCTGTAAACTAAGGGAAATAAAACCTTCACAGCCTCCCAACAAACCCCCTTCAGTTAAGTCCAGCCAATGCAATGCAATTAAGTTTAATTAGCTGCTGCTACAGCATATGTGTTCTTCTTTTTATCAAGAAATTCATGCTGGTAACAAAGCAGCAGTGCTCACTTGCAGTCTCAGATGATTGTGAAGAGTCTCATGCCACCCACCACAGACTCATCATGGAAGACAGCCCAACTGCCTGTATAGCATTAATAACCTTCATGTCATTCAGATAGCTAAAGGCTGAATTCACAAAAAACCAGCTTCCATCTTTAGGAGATTAATCTGTTGTCGGCCACAGGCAGAGACCAGGGAGCCAATACACCACTTGTTCTTGTGTCCGTGTCACATCAAGGACACAACTAAACAAGAGATGCCCAGATGATGTTCCCAGCTGGGGAACGCTACCCTATTTGGCAAAGCTGTGATCCCTAGAAACTACTGCTAGTCCGGCTGCAAGTGAGGTGAGAAAAGCTAAGATTTCTTCTTGGTCCAAAACCTGGCCATTAGGAAGACTCTGTTGATTGTTTTGCAATTGTTATCCTGTAGGATTATGGAGGACAGAATAATGAGTCTGAGAAGAACAAAAAGTGTTTTCTGGTGCCTTCAATCTACCTGAAGCATTTCTTTCAAGCATTTCCCAGGCTTATATGAACAGAATAAATAAGAATAAACCGCTCATCTCATTCTGAAATGCTCACTGAAAATATTTATGATTTCTGACTTATTTTTATTCCTACCATGCTGGACAATCTTAGACAGGTTACACTGTATTTTCCCTTTGCAAAGCCCATTGTGCAGACAGATTTATTTATTTATTTATTTATAAGTTAGAGCAAATGCAGCCAGTATCACAATTGTATCTCCAAGCTCAGTTTTACAAAAGGCATCTTTCATGACTGCATGTTTTTAGTGGGAAGATGGGAATGGCCTGATCCCAGCATTACCCATGAAATCCTGGTCACCACGTATGGGTCATCAAGCTAAGCAAAGATGGTCCAACTGAGGGAAGGCGACAGGCCCCAGAAGACATGACTGTGCTTTTACAGCCATTAGAGAGAAGGGAGCCAAAGATGAATGATGTGTCTTTGTGCCTGACTCCATATACATATAGGCTTTCAGCCAAACTGTTAGTTCAACTGAAATTAACCAATTACAGCACTAGAACTCTAAAGAACTGAAAGTAATTGAAAATATACTTCTTACCATTTTTGGATACAATTATCCATTTTTTTGCTGTCCCTTCTGGCTCATCAATAACAGTAAAGCTGAAGGGGTCACTGTTTGGATAACCATCCAAATCATTAGCCGTAACATCAATGAATTTTGCATCTGAACACACAGTCTGCACAGGGTTCACAATAACTGGGCAGTTATCATTCTCATCTTTAACTTGAATAACAACTGTGCCGGTGACTGTTTTCTTAGGAGAATCTAAGATTTTAAAATATGAAAAGGAAAAGTTAAACTGATTTGAAAAGTGCAAAAATTTAATCTTAAAATAGAAAAACTCAGTATTTTCCAAAACACAAATGTTGCTGAAATAATCTTAAAGAGCTCTCCCTGGAGCTTATAGAAGTAGTATTTAATTTCTAATGCTAATAAACATATTGACGAAGTTCTTCTGAAGCCAAGATATTTTAGTATTCTAACCTAAAAAAAAGTATTGCCTACGTAGGGTTACACAGTAACATTCAGGTTATTAAAAAAAGAATTCTACTTAGATACACAGGAAGTTCAGGGAGTCTTTCTTGCTTAGCATTCAAGGAAATACTAAAGTCTGACGATTAGCATACTAATATTGGCAATTTCCACCTTGACAAGGAATGTTCTTATCAGATGGTCTTTGCAAACTTTTTTGTTAAAGTTCACCTCCATCTAGTCAAAGAAGAGAAATGGGCACCTTGGGAACTCATTCCAAGGATCATCCTACTGCAATGAGTTGCCTGTGTCTCTCCTCCAAATATAGAGCCTATGGGAAAAATGGCACTAGATGCCTAACTTTTAGGCAGTTAAAGATAGGGAGGTTAAACCAACTATAGATGTAGAAAGGCAAACTAAACCCTAACAAAACCAACTAGTGTTAAAAGAAAACCCTCTCAACTTACCAGTAGTTACACCCAGCATGGTGATAGTGTAGGTACCATTTACTACATGAGACGATTCATAATCAAGTTGTTTGGCAAGTCGGATTTCACCTGTGACTGAGTCTATTGTGATCCAGTTTGCTGTATCTCTTCCTTTCATGTATCTGATTAAAATTGCATATAAAGATGTACACACTTTTAATGAGGAAAACAACTATCAGTGGAAAAAGCAGCTTCACAGTATGTTTACTCCTCATTTAAAGCAGACCAAATCCCTAGGTCTGAGGTCTGACACTCCCACCACTGAAGATGGTTTCACCTATAAACCTATTATGAATATTGAAATAGCCTTTCCCTCTAAAGCTAGTATTTAGGTGTTGGGGCATTATAAAAAGTAGACTCAGGGAGTGAGACTGGAGCAGGAGAGGGAGCTGTGCTTCTGGTCACTGTCCTCTTCCCCTCCATCCCTGCTCCCAGCAAAAACTGATCAGCAGCCATATGGGAAAGACTGTAATGACAGTTGTGGAGGAGCGGGGTCCACTGTTGGGATGCACCTCTGTTGGGATGCACCATTTGTAAAAGCCAAGGTGGTGGTTCAACAACATTTTAGCTGAAGAGCCATGATTCAAAATCTAAACACACACTCAGAATTAGCTATTTTACACCCTTTCTGTGCAACTACTAGATGCTTCTGCGTATTTACTCCTAATGTCTCTGCAGACAATGAAGTCAGACAAGTAAATCTACTTTAGAAAGTAGACAGGCATGACAAGCAGCGTGCAAGCATAGACAACTTGAGCCCAAACACTCACATCTCACCATATACAACAAAACAAGTAGGATTTTCATATTGCTTATTTTCTGCATGACAGAATGCTAAAGATTATAATGATGTTGTTTTACATACGAATTACATGTAGTAATTGCCTTTGAAATTATTTCGGTTCAATATACACATTTTTACAGTGAGATGTGATTTCTGACATACTCGGTTATAAAAAGATTCTTACGTAATGCGCTCTGCTATTTTCCCAGTGTCTTCATCATAGGCTTGATACTGTCCAATAACATCTCTTATCTGCAGTTTTTCACTTGCTTCAATAATTTTTGTGCCACCAGGAAATACAGGGCCTTCCCGCACATTAATCACACTAATTTTGATTGGAATTGTTTGTGCTTTGTAACTGTGTTTAATTGACTTGTGGAACTCTGCTTTGTTTGTAACAACAATGCCCAAGTTCAGGTTTTGCATTTTTTCATAATCCAGCTCCTAGAGCAATTAAAAAAAAGAAAAAAATCACTCAGAATTTGACAGAACCTGGTATCTAGACAACATTCATACATTTAATGTTTAAATAATAACAGTGCAAAGAAGAACTGTTGGTTAACATGTTAACTCTCAATACATAATGCTTCAAACTCTTTAAAAGTACGTAAGGAAGATTACTTTTCTTATTTTTAATGGACGGCACTATAGGTATGTCTTTATATTACTGAATTTAAACTAATTTAAAGTAGGTGCAATGAGTCCTACCCATATATACTGTCTTTACTTCAATGAATCAGTACTCAATATTACTTGGCTCTCCCAAATTTACTTATTTTTTAAAATCAATTAATTTACTTAATCATGTTTATAATTTTTTTTTTGCAGTTATCAGTTTTGAGATAAGGAAACCAGAGGAGGTAAAAAAAAAAAAGAGAAAAAAGTTACTTAGGGCATTATGCACCTTCAGTTCTTGTGGACTAAAGGGAATTGAAATTCACGAAATAGAAGTTTCCATTTACGGAAAGTATTTTCCTAATTTCAATTTATGGATAGTCATAAAATAAGTCTGTAGCCCATGGCTCATGGAGTAAGTGTTGTTATCTGTGGCCATGGGAAATAAAGAAATTTAAATTCATATCAGTAAGATCAGCTCAGGAGAACAAAAATATGGGAAAATTTACAGCATATTTATTAGCACTATTGCCTAAATGACAAGAAAAGTTTGGGGACTTCTACCCCACTAGATATATTTGAGGACATATAGAATGAAAATGGTAAAGCTGGACAAAATTATTACTTTGTACAGAATTACTGAATACACCAGCAAAGAATATGCCAAAGAAGGAGTGTCCACCATGTAACTTTACAGATTATACAGTGACTGAATATAAATAATTTTTATGTCAACTCAAAGGGAATAAATTATTCTAATATTTAAAAATGGCTCTCTAAAGAATATACTAACCTTCACAAGAGTCAAAATTCCTTCATTTGTTTGGGTATCTGTTTCTATACGAAAAAAGCCACCTTCGTTGCCAGAAACAAATGAAAAGTTCGCCAGCCAGTTATCAGAAAACTCTTCATCTTTGTCAAATACTTTTATTCGCATGATTTCCACATTTGCTCTGTTTTCTTCAACGCTTCCTTCAAACTGCAATCAAAAAACACCCTTCTTTAAAAAGATGTCATGATTTGCCTTATTTCACCAGTGCAAGGAGGTTTGCACAACCTTGTATTAAGTAATGGGATACTGGCAGATGTAGGAACATGCCAAATGTTGTGATAAATGTACTTACTTCACGACTTTCAACCACAGGTAGATTGTCGTTGACATCCAAAATCTTGATTTGTAAAGAACATGTTGCAGCATTCCCACCTAATTCACCACCACGGTCTTTTGCTTCCACCACCAAAGAATAGCTACTTTGTGTCTGCCGTGGTAAGAAAAAAAGCATTTAAACCAGGCTAAAAATTTCTCTTTTGCTGTATTATCTCTATTACATTTTGGCAATCCCTCTCATGGCCAACTGTAACTCCTCTCTATATAGCAGTAAATCTCACACACAGTGACACAGGCTCTGCTGGAGCAGAAAAGGATTTGGGACTTCTGCATCTCTTCCACGAAGAACTAGATTGTACTGACATGCAAATGAAAACATTCCAGTGGCCATAAACAGGGACAGGACCTGCACAGATACCTGCACATCAGGACAGGGCTAGAGGCAGAGATATTACCCTCAGCTGCAGAGAGCTAACATCCAGATCACCATCTGCTGGCCAGTGAAAATTCACACAAGCATAAGTAAAGTTGCTGGTAACATGTCGCTTTCAATGCTGCTTCACAGCAGCACCCATCCTAACTCTCTGCACTGTGCTTAGCATAGCAGGCTACAAAAAACTTGGATGCAGAGAGCAGCTTTGCTGAAGGTGATCTGGGTTCTTTGCCATACGCTCTCTAGCACTGAGACATGACCCGTTGTTTCATGTAACTGCTGCCCTGGCTGCATGGCAGGGACAGAAAGCAACAGCCACCAGGCTGGTGCTGTGCTAGAGTGGTGACAGGGGATAACCTTGATCCCATCGCCACCACCACCCCCAATCCCTGAAAAACATGTGTCAGACAGACAAGGCTTTAATCCCAAGGAAGGTGAAGAAAGGTAGGTGGTTTTTTACCTCTCTGTCAAGGTTTATTTTTGCTACTCGAACCTCGCCAGTATCCTTATTCATGCTGAATGCAGCGCTAGGGCTTTGGGAAATGATCCTGAAAGCAATTTTGGAATTTAGGTTATTTGGTTCATCTGCATCTGTTGCATTTATCCTCATTACAATTGTACCTGGAAAAAAGCAAACAAAATACAGTATTTGTTAATATTGCCGTGCACTGACAAGTACTTTTACTGTAATGTCAAAGATAAGAAAGAGCATCTTGTCAGATGCACTGCAGCTTTCTGATGTTTTTGACTTTATTTATTTAATGAATACTGCTGAAGTGTTCCTAAAATTCCAACAGTACATGTTAAAAGTATATCCTCTAGCAAACAAAAAGATTGTATCCACACATCTGTAACTCACAGGATTCAGTGCACCAGCATTAAACAGGTTGAATTCTTTTTCAAGAAGTCTGACAGAAAACTAGGTAGAGAAGAGAGTTTTTGAACAACAAGCTACATTTGCTCTGCACATTATTCTACAGGGAGCACTACTAACTCCTCTAACTGAATGTTACTAGAACTGGTCTGTATTGATGCCCTCCAACAGCTTCACTCAAAATACATGGCAATCCTTATGGTGAAAACCCCTCATGGCACAGGATTCTGTCCTCTGGGAAAGCATGTAACTCAGCATCCATGCCTGAGTCTGAACATTACCTGGAATTCAGGCAAGAAGCAATTACCATATGGCTGCTACTATCTTGAAAGAGAGCTGAGGGAACTTAATACCTCACCCAATTGGATGGTCAAGAATTTGTTTTTTCAGATTATTGTGATGTTGACATGGACACGTCAGGTATTTATTAGGTCACTTTATTCCAGCTTTTCTTGTCTTCTGGGACATAATTTGTTGCTTTTATGTCTACTGACATCAATAGAAAAACTGCTACTAATTTGTTCTTTGAGGGTTAGGTCACAGCCATATGCGTTTAACAGTGAAGTACCTCTCCAGCCCACAGACAAAGCAGGGCTTTTCATGAGCCTCACAGAGTGGAGTCCCTCCCAAACAGGCTGGGATTGCTAGGCCGGAGGTTAGACTGCGTCTCCTGCGTAAATCCTGCTGAAGGATGCTGGTTCCTGGATTTGTGGTAACTTTGACATCAAACCAAAGGTGCTTTAAGAGAAAATGTTGTTTTCTGTTGCTTTTATATGGATGCTTTCCCTTAGTCATGCCACACAGCCCTGAATAAAAAATTCCATTCACACCTGATAGATAACCTGGCCTATGCAAGCAAGAGATTGTATCCTTGTTACTGCAGATATGCTGCTGCAAAATGTATATTCACTTGTGCCTTTGCATGTGTTGGGAAAAGCTAAATGAAAAAACAGTTCTAAATTATGTTACCTGTTTCACTTAATTCTTCAATTGAACCAACAAAAACTTCATGTGAAAACACTGGAAAATTGTCATTTATATCCACAATTTTAATTGGGAGGTCTATTGGCTCTTCCAGTTTTGCTCCATTCTTATCTAGTGCATGACCTCTGAGCTGAAATAATACAGACAGAAACAGTAAGCAAATCTAAGGAGTGACTGTAATATATATAAATACATAAGCAAAATAGAAATATACAGAAATATGTAAAACATAAATAATGAAATCTAAGCATCACATAAGCATATATAATATCCCTATAAATATAAGCATGTATACACAAGCAAATATCCAGGAACATTAAAACTAATAAAGCAAACACATTTGAACAAAATTAAAAAATGGATCGGAGGGCAGCTACAAAAAGAAAGTTACTTCTCAACTTACAAGCAGCATTGGAGTCTTTTCTCTGTCAACCCTTCCTGTTATGTTCAGGTCTCCAGTCTTTCCATTGATAACAAATAATCCATAAGGGGGTTCTGTTACTCCTTGACCAGATATAGTGTAAGTTACCACTACCCCTGTATCTTCAAGATCAGAATGTATCTAGCAGGAATATAACAGATTAAATAGCGTTTAGTAAATAAAACTACATATAAAAATGCAACAAAAATATTTTTGCTTTTTTTGTAATGAACAAACAAAAATAAACATTAAACACACTTCCCTGCACTGCAACTGTGGAGATGTTGAGAGGAAGGTAGGAAGAGCTGCAAGTTTTGTCTGAGGATCTGGTGCAGTTTGATGAGGAACATGATGGGTACTGCAACAGCTGGCAACTGTGGAGTGGTCTGTGAGAGAAGAAAATTGGGACTGCTTGGACAAAGAGTGGAATAGGATACAAGTGCAGGGAAAGGCCAGAAGACCACTGTGACACAGTGAAAAGCTGGAGTGAGGGAAGGAGGAGGAAACTGGCTGATCAAACAGATCAAACAAATGGGGGCAAATAAAACGTGGAGAAAGACCAAGGGGGGGGGTGGGGGGGAAGCCTGGAACAATGAGTTAAGCAGGGATCGAAGTTATGTGAGCAAAGCCTGAAAATAAAATATGACAGATTTTTACGGGAGTTTAGACCTAAGATAGTGAGTGTGACCAGGGCTGAGGAAGTGAGGATGGAGGAAGAAAGTTCAGACCTGGAGAGTAACAGGGAGAAGAAGCTACACAGACTAGAGATTATACCCTGCCTCTGCTGTCAGCAAATCTAAAAGATCTGGAAAAGCACCTGTGCACTGTGCCAGCACCACCATGAAGGGGCAGCCCAAGCAGAGGGCAAAAGCCTGCTACCATCTGCAGGCACTTTATATGCTGAAGTGACAGGCGTGGTGAATTCAGGTTTCAGCACTGGTGCAGTCCCAAACGCATATCACGCTTGCACAAAAGGTTAACACTTCAGTTATTTTTAGTTCTGTTTCCTAAAAAATAAGGCATATATAATCATGCTCCATGTACACCCTTCTGCTCAATCACCACCAGCATTTTGGGATCCACTTGCTAAGTTCAACCACAGCTGAGTAAGGGGTGGTGGAGTGAAAAAACTCAAAGATACTGCATTTCCAAAAGTTTTCATAAAACTGGTGGCTGGGAAAAGATGAGACACTGAGCCAAATCAGGCTGCAAGAGTAACTCATCCGCTGAAGGAAGGAAACAGAAGGAAATGTACCAGTCTTCAACTGACATTCAATAGTGCTTTCAAATTAAAGAAATATTTGTGCATGTGTTTAGTACAGCCACACTCTTATTTTACATTTTCATCTCCAGTTTTATGTGTGTTCTATATTTATCTGTTTTCCGGGCTTACTCTAGCAATTGGATTCTTATAGGAATTGTCCTCCTCTTCCCGTATGAAAGCTGGAGGAACTGTCCATTCTCGCTTCTGTCTGACTAGGCTGTTGGGATGAGACAGCATGCCACTCCTGCCATTTTGAGTAAAAACCTGTGAAAAATAAGGTTGAATGTCAGCATTACATTTAGCCATTTCAGATGAATGCTTTATTGCTGCTGTAGCCCACACTTCAAAATAGCTTTTGCTCTTTCAATAGCTAGTAACTTCAAAATCCCAGAGCAGCATTTGCCTTCAGAGCCACAATCTAAGAGTGCTCCTCAAATTGTTTGAAGAGGAAAACCACACTAGCCTTTTCATCAAGACAGAATTAGGTAAGACAGGCTTTAAATACATGAGCAAGTTCAAATGCCCAGGGATTGGTGAAAATACACCTGTTCTGGAAGATTTAAGTGCTTCTCATCAGATATGGGAAGAAGTCTGGCACTAAGGCTGTATTGAATCACCATTTCTGCCTTATTACTCTGTTTACCATCCCACCAATACTGTCTCATACTCATCCTTCTCTCTGAAACAGAATATATGACACAGCAGGCCTCTATTCAGCATCTCCACTGTCTGTTATCCTTGCTCAACTAGCCCTCATTCTCACTCTGCATGACACCCTTCATCCCTCTGTCCATCTTAGTCCCTACTGCATCTGTTGGCTTCCAGATTAACATCTGGAAATGTTTCCAGTTAACATGTTCCATAAAATAGCAGCTGATTTCACTTACAGAGAGTTAAAAAGAGATATCTACAAAGTTAATATTTTAGGGGAAACTTCTCAGAGTTGAACACCACTCAGTTTGACAGATGTAGGAATCTATTCACATTTTGGCTTTCATTTCATCATTCATTACACAGCTTTCACATTTCAGAAGATGGTAAAAGTCAAGATATTTATCAACTGACTTAAGGCATGCCTTTGACATTTTGCTCAGAGAACCCTTCTTCAGGCACTGATAAAGAAAAGCAATTTTCCATTATTTCCTACCTTCACATAGAGTCCATTTCCACAATTCAAACAGATCTGCAATGGAAGTTATGATAATCATTATTAATTCTATGTCACTTTAGCAGTACTTAACTGACGTGACCTCCCTCATAAGAACAACAAATCCCAAAGAAAGAGGGCATCTGACCTCTAACAATTAATATTTACTATTTACCCATAATAGCTTCTGAAAAATTCACTCATAGCCATTCACATTAAAAGCATACACTATAATCATGTAATTATCAAGTTTTGCACTCTTCTACCAGCAGGAAACTGATAATAAGAAATTAATAGCAGGAAACAGATAATATTTTTTTTCAATAAATGCAGACGCTATAGTAAATTTAAACAACTATTTCTTAGTGCTGGATAATGCTTCGCTATTCCAAAACAATGGGAATTTGCCATTGATTCAAGTGTTGGTTGCCGGCAGCACTCTGGAAAAGCTCCCTCTTCTGGGCAAACCATGGATTATACAGGCTGTGGTGGGTTACCAACCACATCAGAGAACAAAACAGGTTAAATAACGTTTAAATTAAAGGACTAACTTAACCACCTGCTGAAGCATACACGACAGAAGCAGCTTTTTACTTAGGTTCTTGATGGCAGGATGAACAGCATATATACACACGTGTGCCAGCCAGCAAATCATGTTTGCTCTGACAAAAATTTACATGCCAACGTTCAGTACTGGGACTGTACATCTCTTCGTGCACCAGGATAGCCCAGGACAGCTATGTATGCCCTTAAACACCTCAGTGGGGTGCCTCATCGTAGCTAGAAGGAACTGGAGCCTCAGCCAAATTATCAGAGATCCCGTGTTTACATCCATTCTGCACGCACCAAAAACTCCGCAAGTAACAAAACCCCTCAAACAGTGCAAAAACTGCAGGCATTGGGAAACAACAACAGCAAAGGTTATTACAACATGTGATACCAACAAATAAAGCTTTTGAGCTTTGCATAGGTACAGAATACTTTCATTGTTTTCAGCAGCACTGCATTTACATACATTTTGCGATTTAGTTTTTGGGTTTTGTGTGGTTTTTTTTTTGTTTTGTTTTGTTTTAAATACTAATGCCTAAGGCAAAGCAGGCTCATAAAAGGCAATTTCTTCCTGAAATAAGTCAGTATGTTCTCTTTGACCGGTTTCTAGACTGGTGACTGGGCTCTCCCTATTCATCCCTCTGACTCAGCCTTGATTGCTGCATCGATGACTGGTTTGGTTTTTTTTAAAGATGTTATCTCTTTCCCACACAATGCAGCATTGCAGTGGACAGTGTTGAGCAATGTAGCAGACCGCTGTTTTGACTTGTTTTTCAAATGGCAATTTTCCCAACGTATATATTCTGAAGACAAAAATCAGCAAGCACCAAGTTCCCTAACGGATATGCATTCTGAGGGCTACATGATATTACACCTTCGGCTGCTTTAATGGATATTCTTCAACTTATTTGTTTTCATTAGTTATACAGATTTTTAAAATGTATTTTTATTCTTAACGAGATTGTACCAGCAAGAGTGACAGGAGGATTTTGGTTTATGGTCAAGGTTTTACAACAGAAGCTGCAACTCTTTTGGAAGGTGAGTAGTTGTGAAGATGTCATAGTGAGTATTCTTGTTTGTTCTTACTGGTAAACTGAAGGGAAAAATGCTTCTGTCTCAATACTGGAGACAAAAGGCACAAGGTGAAAAGTTTCCTTGTACTGCAAACCTGAGAACCGCAGTATAAACAAAAGCATCTGAAGTTCAAGAATAAGCAGGTCTTCCATCAAGATGCGTATCAAGAAAGTGGAGAAAATCCCATTAGTCATTATAAACAGAAAGTCTTTCAATTAAGATAACTAGAAGTAAAAATCAATTTGTTTGCAAATTCCTCAAAGCAGCCTGAAAACATTTTGGTTTATTGCTAAAACAGTAAGAAATAATTTGATTTTGTACTTTTCAATTTGTAGTCCAGAGGCAGTCTCATAACAGACTTTAAAACACCAATAAAAGGTGTTTAAGAATGGCAATTTTATTTACGATATGCATAAATACATTTGGAGCAAATATATAAAGAGATCCTGCAGTTTTATTGGAAATCTTTAAAGAATCCAAAAATCTAAAAGAGGGAAAAGCACTTTACAATGAAATTCTCTTGAAGAAAAAGTATCTAACAGGTGTTGAATTCTGAATTTCCCCCCCTTTTTTAAATATCCTAGAACTGCCTTCTATTAAGTAGCTTAGTAAGGGGTGGAAAGCCCTGTCTGTCATTTGATATAGATCATAGCCTTGGCATAAAAAAATAGGTATTTACTGATGACATCTGTTGATGACACAGAGCTGAGAAGGCATTGTCAGAAGACAACTGGATGGTTACAGAAAACAACGTGGAAAACCTGAGGCTTGAAGTAATAGAAATGGAATGAACTACTACAAGAAAGCAGCAGGAGTAGGTGTGAGGGCAGTGGAAGGAAGGGAGTGACTGCCATGTATAGGGAGCTGCTCTTGCTGAACTCCATGTTCATACATAGTCAGGATGTGACTAAAGGACAGATTTTGAATATACAGCTTAGTTTTATACTGTAGAGATGAAGACTGAGTAATCAAGAAGGTACATGTCTGTATTTGCTACACTATGAAACAGTAAGTGCTAGAAGCATGGTCTTCTGTGTATGTTGTGTGTCAGAAGATTTGGAACTCATACCTCCTGTGAATCAATTTGATGTTGAAGACGATGGGTGAGTGAAGATGTTCCACATTTAGAGAAGCAGACTGAAGGGACCATCCAATATTATCTACTAGTCCATCTCCTGGCCCTGAGGCAGGATGAACTACACCTAAGTGCTTCCTGGCAACTGTTTAACCTGTTCTTAAATAAGAGTAATGAAGGTCCCACAGCCTTGCTAGCTAACTTGAGGTGATGCCTAAATAGTCTTACAGATGAAATATCTTTAATAATTTTTATCCCCATTTTATTGTCCTAAATTTTAGCTCTTTGCAAGTTGATCATTTTGCAGTTTGGAGGAGATTCAATTTCAGATTAAGCCACACAAATTTACATGTCTAAATGAATGCTAAGTGCCTAAACTTCTGTTATACTCAACAGAAATACAGCAAATACTGACAAGGATATCAGAGAGCAGTTCAATTTGGCCCAAAGCCAGTCCATGTCTGCTGTTTCTCTCTGGACTCCACGGACTGTAGCTATGCCTACTTTGTAAACTCAATACAAGAAGATTTGTAAAGCAAAGCAGTTGCTGCTGAGAACCCAACACTACACAATCCATGTCTTGTGGTTGGCTTCAGACTAGAATTAGCCTGGTCCCAGAGACCAAACACCCATGAGCAGATGGATGCATCTCCCAACACAGTTTTACCCAGGAGGGATCAGATTCACACACTCCAGAGGTTTGCTTTGAAAGTACAATTTGATCCAACCACGTTGGTGCCTTGTGCATTCACTGCCATCTCCATTTACCATAACAGAAACTCAAACACCTATACTGAGATGTCTTTGCCATGTTGATAAATGCTCTCATTGAGCAGTGTAATTCTCTTTTCTTCACAATTATCCTTCAAATACCTGAAAACTTAGCATGAATCTTGTCCACTTTACTTTCTCAGTTCACAGTTCTTTAAATTCACTTCAAGAATTGTAAAACAGAACTTCCTGAATTTAGACTGTACTTTTTTGCTTTCTTCCAGTCACTCCTGAGTGGACTCACTTTATCCTGAAGTCTGGTGTCCAAAATAAAACACTTTAGTTCAATAGGATGAATAAAATACTAGATCTTATATATGTCTCAAATGCTTTTGTATCTCAAAATAGCACTGTTTTTTCTCCCCCTTTTTGGAACAATATGAAGTTGTTCAATCAATGCACAGATGCTTGTAAAAGATTTTTACCATGTTTCAACATGTTACTGGTAACAGAAGCTAGGCTGCTTTGAATTATCTCACCTTTGCTCTTTCTAAAACTAAGCATCATGTTCGGTGGTTGTTTGTTTGTTTTGGTTTTGTTTTTTTTTTTAATTTAACTTGTTTCTATGAATTTTGAAAAGTAATTGCTAGTGGCTTTGACATTATAATAGTGATCTACCATATTCTGGGCTGAATTTCATTATATCCAGTCTGAGTCTAACACGCCAAACATCAAAGAAGTACAATCTGAAAAGACGTTCAGAGAAAAAAAAAAAAAAAAGCTGTGCTACTCGCATAGTAAGATCCACACATCTGTCAACTCTTCTTTCACCCAAATGTAGGAAGTGTCCTAAGATTTCCTCTCTTGAAGACGTGATGTCCACCCCCTTCAGAAATGACCGAGAAACCTCCTAGTCTAATAATCCTTGATAGCCGTGCCCGCCCTGCAGGCCCAGGGCTCTGGGTGTGCGAGCTGGACACACGCCAAGCCAAGCCCAACCCTACGGATGCACTACTGTCCGGCACACCCAGACATCCCTGGAAAAAGAGTCAAAGGACAGGAGACATGGGGAAAACTGCAGTGACCTCTATGAGGTACACGGGCACGATGATACAGGGATACCGCTCCCAGGCGGGCAGGCGGAGAGTGCAGACGACCAAGAGATACTTCCAGGAAAAAAAGGGAGAGGAACAAATTATCAGTTTTTGATGCTTCTAGGGTAGAAGACGCTTTGGTAAGACACTACTTTTAGACTGGCTTTGGTTTTCAGTAGTTTGTTAAGGTTTTGAAGTTTTCAGTGCCATCTTTGCATGCCATAAGATATAAATGGTCCTCATCTGATGCTCTCAAACAAGCAACTAGACTTTCCTCCATGTGAATGGCTTTGTCCAGATTAGGGAAAAAAACCCAAACCAAACCCCAAACAAACAAAAAAGGCAAAACCCAACAGTGCCTGCCTCTCTCTCTCTCCTGATATCAACCAAGGAAGTTTTATTTGCTAACATTCTATCTGACAATGAGGCACTTAGGCACCAAACTGACTTCACTCTTAGTATACTGTACCCTGCCCCAGATTTAGCTGAGAGGATGATGGAGAAAAATAATTTTCCTCTTTTCTTCAGGCAAAACCAATAGCACCCTGAGCCAGTGCAAGCCCACCAAAATGGATGACAGTGTGGCTTCA